AGCATCAATCCTTCCAATGCATATTCAGGGTTGATATCCTTTAGGATTGACTGGCTGGATCTCCTTACAGTCCAAGGGACTCTCAAGAGTCTTCTCCAACACCACAGTTCAGAAGCATCAACCCACCCAGCCCTCAGGCTCCTCAGGCCACCCAAATGGCGGGGGCCAGGTCCCGCAGACGGCAACCCACACAGCCGGCCACCGCCAGTAGGTCAGTAGGTCAAAGCGTAGAGGCGGGGAAGGGATAAAGGTTCCCCGTCGCCTCAAGGCCTGGGCCCAGCCATGGGCGGCCATGGTGAGGGCTCTGGAGCCCTGCAGGACACAGCCTGTTCCCTGGGTCCCCTGTTTGCTGGCCCGAGGCCACATGGCTGGAGGGCCCCGGAGGGCAGGTGGTGATCGGTCTCTTACCTCACTCTCCTCCTGATGGACCACCACTCCGACGACTGTTGGCTGAATAGCCCACGAAGGGTCGCTCGGTGCCAGTTGCTCGCTTGGGAGGGGGGCCCGCTGTGGCGCTGCCCAGTGGCTGATGGGACTTCTAACCGCTGTTCTAACTGGCCCACGTTAGTGGTCTCGCGATAACCACTGCCTGCTAATGGGTGGCACAGCCATGGCTCCCGGCAAGGGCCGCCACTGCCTGCTCGAATACAAAATTACAGTGTGACCTCAGGCAAGTCACTTTCCTCCCTGAGCTTCAGAGAATAATGGGGCCTATGTTCATGGGGTGGACTAAAGGAAGTCAAGCCCACAAAGTGCTCAGGACAGTGTCTGGCTCATAGTGAGAGCCTAATAAGTGGTAGCTCAGAACATAAGGATGAAGAATAGAGGCGGCTAGGGACTTCCTGGGTGGTCCAGTGGTTAAGATTCTGCTTCCAATTCAAGGGACGCAGGTTCCATCCCTGGTCAGGGAACTAAGATCCCACATGCCATGGGGCAACTAAACCCTCAGGACACAACTAGAGAGAAGCCTGGGCAGCGCAACTAATACCTGATGCAGTCAAAAATAAATAAAGATTTAAAAAAAAAAAAAAGGAAAGCAGCTACTCTGGATCCCATCCCAGAAGAGAACAAGAAACACAGTTGTAGCTTCCTACCCTCATGTTGAACCTCTGAACTGTGTGCTCAGTGGTGTTTGACTCTTTGTGATCCCATGGACTGGAGCCACCAGGCTCCTCTGTCCATGAGATTTTTCAGACAAGAATAATGGAATGGGTTGCCCTTTCCTCCTTCAGGGGATGTTCCCCACCCAGGGATCCTGCACTGCAGGCAGATTCTTTAGGCTGAGCCATCCTGGAAGCCCACCTTGACGTTATGGGAGCTTTCCACCCCCCACCCCCCCACCCCCCCGCCAGCCATCCCACATGGCTTGCAGGGATCTTAGTTTCCCGACCAGGGACTGAACCTGGGCCATCAGCAGTAACAACAGCAAGTCCTGACCACTGGATCACCAGGGAATTCACGGCCCTAGGCGCTTGCCCACGGTATCTCATTTAAATCTCACATGAACCCACATGCATCACTATGGGAGCATTTTAGCAGTAGCCCCAACCACCTCCTAGGAAATGCGCCAGGTTTCCCAATCTGTGAAATGGCTTGTATGATTTATTTTTCCAAATAAACTTTAAAGGCCTTACTGGAGCTGATACTCGGTTTTGTGTCTGATCCAAAAGGGCAAATTGATGGTGAGAACCTTCAAATGGGGAGGAGGGAAAGAGCTCAAAGAAAGTCCCCCTCTACGTCCGCACCCCACCCCCACCCCCGACTCTTTTATCTGATCTGGGACATATGCTTCTGAAAGTCCCAGGAGTCACAACAGCAAGTACCCCATCGATCCAGGCCGTACTGTGTTAAGGGCACTGGATTAGACTATTCCAGCGTGAGTTTTGCAGCTGAGTTCGTCTTTCCGAGCCTCAGCCCCCTTCCTCATCTGTAAAGTGGGATGATAATGATTCCAAAGACTGACTGAGCCAGGCGCACATTGCGGGGCAGACGCCGCCGGGGCGCACCCCCGCCGCCGCCCAGCGGATCTCGCGGTCCCAGGCTGCAGCCGCCATCCACGCCCCCGCGGGCGGATTCCCCCGCGGCCTCCCGAGCCGCGCGGCGGGGACCCGAGTGATTGCAAACAGCCGCCGGCCTCATTAGGAGACGTGTAATTAGCGGCTGGCGAGGCGGGAGTCGACACCGGCTAATTACCGCTGGGAGCGGCCTTCGCCGCCAACGCCTCTCCTCCCTGCAGACCGGCCGGCGGGTGTCCGGACCCTAGTCCGTCGGGGACGCAGGGCGCCGGGCAGAATCCGAGGACAGGAGGCCCAGGACGGACCTGGTGCGCTTCCCCCGGGGCTGTGCCTGCGGGTGGTAGTAAATCATTCGCTCAAAATCACGTTTACAGTGCACTCAAGGTGTTTGCCCGTGGTATCTCGTTTAAATCTCATATGCACCACGCACGAGGGAGGAACCATTATTATCCCATCGCACAGATGAGGAAACTGAGATCTGGAGCCTTGAATTAATCGCCCCGACAGCACGTGTCTGGTAAACAACGGAGAAGAGATTCTAATTTACACCTATAGTCTCTCCAATGTATATACAAAGTGCACGGCGAAACCGCTCACAGGAAGACTTCGGCGGTGTAGACCAGAGCCGGGATCCTGAAGTCGGATGGACTGGAGTTGGAATTCCGATCTTGCTCCTTATTGAACGTGTGACTTAGGTCAGAGCCCCAGCCGCATCTATGAAATGGTGCGATTTGGGGATTAAATGAGTTGAAGGCTGGAGTTAGGGGAGATATTTTAAGGGTGGAAGGGGAGGCGGGAAGCGCAGAGGCAGAGACTTTCTCCACACATTATGAGCATCTGCCGCCCCCTGCTGGCCAAAAGAGGACGCGGGCGGGGACCGTTTTTAGATAATAAGGTGGTTCTTGGGTGAGGAGAAGAGACCTAGGCAGGGCCACAGCTGTCCCTCCTCCCGTTCCTTCCTCAGCGTCCCTCCTTTAAGGTGATTTAGAATTAGAGGTGGAAAAATTGAGAACTCATTCCAAATATTCCAAACAATCGGTTGTGAAATCCGACTCCCTTCACGGTTCCCACAGGGCCTGCCAGGTCCCTGACAGGTCTACAAATAAATAGTCAAGGATGGCCACAAAGAGCTAGATATAAGGCTGAGCATCAAAGCACTGGGTATAACAAGAAATTCTTGAACAAATTTAAATGTCCATCATGGAAATATAGACCTGTTTAGCAGTGGTACATCTAAACAAAGCCGTCTGGGGCAGCTGAAAAAAAGCCTTGAAGAATTGTTGTTGTTGTGGCTCAGTCACTAAATTGTAAATAGCTGACATGAAAATATAGTCAAATGACAGAATGAATGTAAAGACAACATGTTGAGAGAAAGGAGCCATACACACAGGCACACACAAACACGCTGTTGGAGATTTATATTTATATAAATATAAAGAACATGGGAAAACTGTAGTTCAAGTGGTAAAGAATCTGCCTGCAATGCCAGAGACTTGGGTTCGATCCCTGGGTCAGGAAGATCCCCCGGAGAAGGGCATGGTAACCCACTCCAGTATTCTTGCCTGGAGAATCCCATGGACAGAGGAGCCTGGCAGGCTACAGTCCATGGGGTCACAAAGAGTCGGACATGACTAAGTGACTCATATACACAGAGTTCAAGAACAGGCAAAGCTTATCAATCATGATAGAAATCAGAATAGAGGTCACTTCTGGGAAGGTTTTTGCCTGAGAAGATGGCAAAGGAACCTTCTTGGGCACTGGAAATGTTCTTTCTCTTTATCTGGGCAATAGTTGCAAAAGTCTATACAAATGTAAAAATTCACTTAATATGCCCTTTATGTATGTTAAGCCTCACTAAATAAGCCTCACTTATTTTTTAAAGGATATTCGGGCAGCGAGGGAAAGAATACTAAACTGTATGATTCTATTCTTAAAAAGAAAATAAAAGGAAAAATATAATTTAACATACAGCAGAAGTTCTCATCTCAGTTTTTTTTTTTTTTTTGTCTCAGGACACTTTCTCACTCATTAAATTATTGAGGATCCCAAAGAGCTTTTGTTTTGTGGAATATGTTAATATTTACCATGTTTATTAAAACTGAGAAATGTTTCAATCACACTGCACAATTCTTTTCACCATCAGAACAATAATGTCAGTACATGTCATGTGGCCTCTGGAAAACTTTACTGTCCACTCTGAGAGAGTGAAACAAATAGCATCTTAGTAGTATTATGAAAGTGACTTGATACTGGAGACTCTCTGAAAGACTCTCAGAAAACTCAGTGGTTCCTGGACGTCACATAGAGAACTGCAGGCACAGGGGGAAAACTAGGGGGAAAAACCCACTACATGTTAAAGTATTTTCTCTTGGTGCTGGGGTTATAACTTATTTTTATTTGCTTCTTTGTGCTTTTCTGTTTAAAAAACAAATACACACAGAATAAACAGAAAATATAATGATCACAGATGGTTTTTGCACAAAAAATGAGACAATACACCTGACTCCATAAGGTTGTTAAAAGGCCTAAACAGTAATAAAGTATTTGACTGTAAGGGGAAATTGAACCGAGCCGTAATCTGAATATGAGTCTCAATTTCCCCTCTGTGAATCCTTGGCTTGTGAGTGCAAGATCTTGCCCTCAAGACCTGGGGAGAAAATATAAATGCACGCACGACTATGTTAGAAAGTAAACATCGTGGAGGCTCCAAATGCCGCATACAGAATTAATGAGTGGGCACAACCACCCATCACAGGCACAAAAATCCATCAATCGCGCAGCCTAGCTCCCAACTGCATCAGCTCGGTACTGAGCAAGACGCCTGCGCACCGCAGAGAAGAGGCGGAGCTCGGGGGAGACTGACACAGGGCTCCGCCTACATTCTAGCTCCGCCTCCCTGAGTGGCTGCCCGGCCAACTTCCTATTGGCCGCCGACGAAAGCAGACATCCGGTTTGCGCGTCTGGCCGCCGGAGGTGGAGGCAGCCATGGTGCGCTTCAAGCACAGGTAAACAGTTTCTCGCCAACAGCCCCTTACCTGGTCCCCGCGGGCCTGCCCCCGGGCTCACCTCCCTCTCGCCCGCCGCAGGTACCTGCTCTGCGAAGTGGTGTCTGACGACCCCCGCTGCCGCCTGACGCTGGAGGACCGAGTGCTGAGCACCCTGGTGCGGGACACGATCGCCCGCGTGCACGGGACTTTCGGTGCTGCCGCCTGTTCCATCGGCTTTGCGGGTGCGAGGGTGCTTGGGAACAGGGCGGACGGCGGGGTTTGGAAGAGGCGGTGGCCACAGGAGGGAGAAAGAAGGGGCGCGAACGACCCCTTGAACTGCCAAGCCTTGTGTACTGTCGTATGTAAGATACCGTTCTTTTTAGCAGCGTCGCATCCCGAGGTCTGGGTGAATCCAGTGAGGCGGAGAGCTAGCTAATAGTAGGCCACGAGTTCAGTCCTTGGGTTGGGAAGATCCCCTGGAGAAGGGTATTCTTTCCTGGAGAATCCCATGGACAGAGGGAGCTTGGCGGGTTACAGCCCATAGGGTTAGAGAGAGCGGGACGAGTGAAGCGACTTAGGCAGTGGGACATTGGGCAAGAAACCCTTGTATCTAATTACCCTTGAAAAGGGCCTGTACAGGACGGATACTTGTGTGTATGTAGACAGGAGCAGGCCCTCTCAACAGCTACACTACTGTCGTTCCCTTTTACCATATTCTTTGAAATTGAATTCCAGAGGTGATGCACATAGGCATAGCTTTCCTACCTCAGGTGAGACTCAGTTGACTGTTTGAAAAACCTATATAGCCCAGTTACAGGACAGCTTGGTTTTCAGCCAGGGCTTTTCTGAGGAAAGTGGATCTCTGCACTCCCAACTCAGTTTATTAAGTTAACTAGTCAGTGCATTAGAAGAACATTTTAAATTCTAAATTCACTAATTCTGAGTGGTGTGCAAGGCACTGGATGTTTCTCCCTTCCATAAATGAAGTGTTAAGTTGTTCAGTCCTGTCCGACCCAGGCTCCTCTGTCCAGTTCATGAAATTCTCATGAATACTGGAATGGATAGCCATTCCCTTCTCCAGGGGATCATCCCAACCCAGGGATCAAACCTGGGTCTCTTGCATTGCAGGGGGATTCTCTACTGTCTGTAAATGGGCTGTCCTACTAATTTTTTTTTCCCCTTCAGAAATCAAGTTTTTACTTCCTGATGCATTCCAAGTGCCACTGTCTTGAGCCATCTCTGATCTCTAGCACACAGGTGCTCAATTAGCCGAAGATTTTTAACCCATCCCTAACAGTCCAGTTTCCCCAAATGATTTTTATTTTTTCCCCTGCTGTAGTACGATACCTCAATGCCTATACCGGAATAGTGCTACTTCGATGCAGGAAGGAATTCTACCGGCTTGTGTGGTCAGCTCTTCCCTTCATCACATACTTGGAAAACAAAGGACACCGCTACCCGTGTTTTCTCAACACCTTACACGTGGGAGGTAGGGGTGCATGGGATATGGCTGGTTTTGTAGCAGGTTCAGCATTCAGTCTTCTGTGGTAGATGCGTATTCCTGCTCTCCTGCTAAGAGCAAGATACTTTTTCCGAGCTCTGCAAGACTCTGAGGTAAATACTTTCCACAAGCTGCTGACCACAAAGCTCTTACCTGTGCCAGGTACAATTAGAACATGCCAGAAGTTCCTGATTCAGTACAACAGGAGACAGCTGTTGACCCTGTTGCAGAACTGCACTGATGAAGGTAAGGGAAGCCAGCCCTGTGCCCACTGAGCAGGGACTGGCCATGGCCTCTGGCTGAATGAGGTCACTCATGCTCTTCACCTTGCTCTTTCTCCAGGAGAGCGGGAGGCTATCCAGAAGTCTGTCACTAAAAGCTGTTTACTAGAGGAGGAGTCGGCTGGGGAGGAGCTTTCCGATAGTGGCGGCGAGGCTGCTGAGCCAATGGAGTGAACCTTTGCACGCTGTGCTGTGCCCAGGCCTCGGGGTCCACTCGCTGGGATGGGACATTCTGAGAGGCAGCAGCATCTTCTGCAGTTCCCAAACTGGATGACTGCTGACCAGAGGCCAGGTGACCAGCTCAAAATGGACTTTCGTAAAACTAATCAGTCACCTTTACCCAGCATTGCCTGGTTAAGTGGTTCTGCAGGTTGTGAAGCCCCTGTCTTTATAGACATCTTTGTATCTAACTGCCTGGCTGGGAGCAGGTTTAATAAATGTATTTGGCTTCTTTTAGCACTTAGTGTACATGTGAAGTTCATGGTTGGCCTAGTCTCTTTCTCCTTCCATCCCTGGCCTCAGTAGCAAGACCAGCTCCCTGTGTGGTACTAGATGTATAGCCTCCCACTGGAGACCCGATAGCCCTGCCCCTCGGTTGGACCCTAAGCAATCCAGATCATTTCGGAGTAGCAGTTTTGAACTTTACTCGTCCACAGTGTGGGGCATGTAGGATCTCAGCTCCTCGACCAGGGATTGATCCCAGGCCCCTCACAGTGGAAACTCAAGAGTCTTAAGCACTGAACATCTAGGGAAGTCCCCAGAATAATAGTGTTAATGAGACACAGCAACTAAACCAGCACAGATCTAGAGCTGGTCTCAATGACCCGAAGGACCTTAAAAATAAACAGATTCTTTGCCAATACTTGACCAGGTAACCTGACAAAAAATAATAGTAATACAATTCTTACACTTTTGAGTGGAGGAAAATATCTTTGTAATAATGTTACCTGACCTCATTATTACAAAGTCAAATAGCAGCTGCCAACATCTGGTGATTTTCTACAGTTCCACCCTTCTCTACTGCCTTATACCTACCTGGCATCTGAAGGCAGGTGAGACAATGCACTCACAGGAATTAGGAAAGACAGAAGACATGACCCGTTTTGATTTGCTACCTAGTAAACACACTTCAAGGACCTATTCTCTCCTTTATAAAATGGACATCACTCAAAAGTCCCTTACATATTAATACGTTTAACAAACATTTGTCATTTTAAGAATGGGAGGTTAGAACTAATAAAATAAGCCCAGATCAAGAACCCTTTAGGCCTGACACTAGGAAAGACATGACTCCATGAAAACAGAATGGCTCAAGTTCACAGCAGCTGTTACCTTAACCTATTAAGAAGTATATGTCTAGCTGACCTGAAATAAATCTTAAAGAAACCAGAAAGCTCGCAATGCTTATGCAGGAGATTTATTGCAACTATTTGCCTTCATAGTCTATTATACCTAGAGGTCACTTTATTAAGCAGCAAAATAATTCACATCACTCAAATTCATTCAGCTCAAACCAAGGCATAAGACTGCTCTAGACAACAGGGAGGCAGTGGGGGGCAGGGGTTGGGGGAGGTATCCCCACTGCTTTCAAACCTGTCCTGCTCTGCCTCCGGGTGTGCCAGACTCCTCCGTTTCTATAATTCATTCAGGGCACTGTCACTTGGAACAAGCTTGACCTAAAGGCTATCAGGTCCTAGGGCCTCCTTAACCAATGACAGTTACTTTCTGTGCCAAAAAGAAGGTAAAACCCTCCATCACACATACAAGTGCAACCTGGGTCTGACACCACAGCCTGGTTGTCAGAAGAAAAACTACAATTCAAGCTGGGTATCCTACATCCATTTTATTCCCATCCCTCTGTTTCTTTAACAAGAGGAGTACTGAACAGATAGAAAAGATTCAACTATTTTTAAAAGACACACCAATAGATATGCTGAAAGCAAGGTGCCCTAACACTGGTTTGGGCTGCTCTACGAGACTAAAACTTAAGTTGGGGGTGAGAAAAACTAATTACACGTGGGTCAAAAAGACTACCTGGCAACAAACTAAAAACCTTGGCAGGAAGAGCTCTCTTGTGAGTGTCAATACTTTATTTTGGTGTAAAGACGGGAAGCTGGAAAATACACTGTATTTAAAATTTTCTTGGTTCCCCCTCACATTGTGGAAACCCCCTCCCCCCCAGAGCTAATCTGTTCAAACTCAAATACTTAAAAATTACAGCAGCAAAACAAAAGCGCAAATAAAAAGAAAACCAGATGGAGAAGTCAGCCTGGGCCAGTAGTGTCACTTGGTGTGGACAACGGAGGTGCTGAAGAGGAGCTTCTGTTTCTGTTTCTTTCTTTTCTTTCCTCCTTTCTCTTCTAAACAAAAAACAGAAAGAACTTAGCTTAGAATGCCACCCCTTTGCCCCCTGGCCAGTTTCCACTGATGAGAGTCACGGGCAACACGAGTGCAGGCTCTGGAATTAAGACTGCCTGGATTCAAATACCGGACCCTGCACTCTCTGGGTGTTTGTCTTCAGACACATCACTTAGATCCCAGCCCAGCTCATCTGTAATGTGAGTTATACCCATTTAAGACAGTTACTGGGAGAATAAAATTAGCACAGTGCTAGGCGTGAATACCACAGAGTGGGGGTGTGCTTTGAGTCTGACATCCATCTATTAGCCACCTTCACCACCTCAGGATTCAAAAATCTATGAGGCTGGGGGAAAAAAGTTACGCAGAACTTCACAAAGGCCTCAAGAATTAATCTGGGGTGCAAAAAGGAGCCATTTGATATACCAGGTGGAATGTTAGTTAACACTAGAATGTGAGCCCTGAGGCTCAGAGGGAAAGAGCCAAGTGATTAGTGATCAGTGCCCCTGGATCCAGGAGGGAACCACAGCCCTGAGCCGAGCACCCCACTCCTGTGCCTTTACCAGAGAGCGGATCTGAAGTCACTGGTGTGTCCAGTTTCATGAAGGCTGCTTCAATAGCTTGGCTGAAGGAATTCTGGAAACTGGGCACAGGAACGCGGTCTGAGTTATCACTCTCCCCATCGCTGTCCACAGGGGCAGGAGGACCTAAGGTGTTTTCATCTAAAAAACACCAGTGTTAAAATTGCAGAAACAACTCCAGAGCCTTCTACTTTCTGAAAGGGGCCAGGCTTCCCCTTTACCAGAGGGCCATTCTCACCTTTCTTTGGAGCGGTTTTGGGCCATACATCTGCTTTTGCTTTTCCAACTCTCAGCATCTGCCAAAGTGGGAAAAGGAAGGGAAAGAATTTAAGTTACTGATCCCGTTTCTTCTCCAGACTCCTACCTTGACACTGACGGGTACGGGGGACACAGAATCAACTACCCACACTGGGAAAAAATTTTCTGGATACTTCTTTTCCTAACACAGTGTTTTCATCATGTCCCCTATATCCTGAACTGGCAGTGAAACTAACAAGGTGGGAAACCAGAAGCTGTTCTGTTCCTTAGGAAACAGGTAAAGAATACTGCAAAGAAGGCACAAGAGATTTATACTCTGATTTTGAAGTGGGAAATCCCGACTTCGTGTCATTCCTTTCTTCTGGAGACGCCTAAAAACATCAACATTACTCCTCTTGCAGTAAGAAGTGTACAGGACCTTCCAAGTTTAAAACAAACCACCGGCCGAGCAAACCTCAGTTACCCAAGATCACAAAAACCAATTTAACTTTATCCCGAAACTGCTCCCACAGCCCTCATTACCTTTCAGTCTTTGCTTTTTCAATAGCTCCTTAACTGTTAACGTTTAGATTCAGCCATAAACCAGATTCCTGAAAGTATAGTAACAGCAGAACAATCCCTCCCAAGAGAGGAATTTTTCACCTCAGTTGGCCAAGGCCAGCTCTGTAAATGCTGAGGGTCACTCTGCATCTTATCTACCACACATGCCATGCCACCTAAAGCAGGGTGCACTGTACCAAGAAACAAACACCACAAGATTCACATCAGCATGCCTGTCCCAAATGTGTCCCAAACTGGGGCTTGCATATTGTGCAAGATGAATTCAACTGGCAGATACTGATTTCATTGATAAACTTCCTTCATCATGTACTACTGTGAGAATCTGCTCCCTTGGTCCCCAAGAGTTTGGGGTCTAACAGTACAACATCTGAATCATCTTATAAGATCACTAAAATACCACATGTATTTTAATCTCACCAAAAATATTTAAATGTTTAGCCTGGGTCCACTAATGAAGAAACCATCAGAAAATCTACAGTGTAGGATCATCTATAGAACAATGGGCCTAGATGCTTCAAAAATACCCATGTGGTTTAGTCACTAAGTCGTGTCCAACTCTCGTGACCTCATGGACTGTAGCCGGCCTGGCTTCTCTGTCCATAGGATTCTCCAGGCAAGAATACTGGAGTGGTCTGCCATGCCCTCCTCCAGGGGATCTTCCCGACCCAGGAATCGAACCAGGGACTCCTGCATTGCAGGCAGATCCTTTACCACCTGAGCTATGAGGGAAGCCCCCAAAATATCCATGCCACATGTTAAAAAAAACAACAGAAGCCAGGGGGACTGTTACGGGTCGGAGGAGCCTGAGGAGAGCTGACACGATGAACGCAGCGGCCAGTCTGGTAACTGACTGAAAACAGTACAGGATGCTGAGCCCAACGGCAAGACAGACGCATGTGCCGTCTCAGCATCCGACCAACTGAGTGTCTCTGGTGTAACAATGATGACCGTGGGCAGACAGGAGAATGTCATTTGAGTGGTATGTATCTTCCAAGTATTTAGTGGTGAAATGTCATTCATGAGGTCTGTAACTGATTTTCAAGACAGCAAAAAAAGAAAAAGCAAATACAGCACAACAGTAACTACTGGTGAATCTGAGTAAAAAGTATGAATATTCATTACACTATCCTTTCAACTCTTTAAGTTTGAAGTTTTTCAAAATATAAAGATGAAAAACACAATGGCAGTAAAACCTAGCTAAAAAAACAACTCAGGCATTGACCTAACTCCTGGGAGTCACTTGCTTATAACCTCTGAAACCAAGTAGTTCATTTTCAGGATCATTCTCAACTATTTCATCCTTCACTTCAAGGACTCTCCTCACCAAAGCTGAATTCCTGCTTATTTCTCAGCACAAACTGCCATCTGTATGTGAGAAATATCTGTATCAACCTCAGACGTTTAAAGAACTGGCAAGCAAATGAGTCCAAACTAATCCCAAAGAAGTGAACACTAACTTCCTATGGGGTACTTGTCAACCTGTCTATCTTCCTCAGTTATCAAATGCAGGAAAGCTGACTATTTGCTTATTTTAAAGATTGATACTGATTTGGCATTAAATCTTACTAGCCTAGTGCTCCCTTCAACCCATCTCTAGACAGCCACTTTGGCTAGTTAGTTACAGGATAACCAAGACAACCTTCCCTTTCCCAAAGAATGGTTTATTATATGTAACAGATACATACCACTTAAGTCAGAGGTCCCAGAACTAGGGGCCAGTTAAAATTGACTGACATATCCCCAGCCCCTAGATCAGTGTTAGTACACGAATAATCTAGTGACTTGTTAAATAATTAAAACTCTGATTCTTCCTCAGCTATTCTTTGCTTCTTTCCTTGCTAAGTTTATGGTAGTATCTGAGATTAAATCCAGGAGCTTCTCTTTAAAAAGCCTTCCATGATCTTAGCACCATTTCTCAGACAACTAACAGGAGTTTGTGGCTTGCAAAAAAAAAATAAATAAAAAAATAAAAAGCCTTCCATGATTTTGAAAGCCAGTGCAACATTAGCCTGTGAATCTCCCTGTCTCCAGCAGAGATTTCCAGGAAGAACAAGCAGCAAAGCTCATGTTAAACGCCTGTGGGCTGCTTTACGAGCAGAGGGTTTACCTGGGCAAAGGAAGGGAAGGGAGAGTCTTCTTCCAGACTTCCAACGCAGAATGAAGGACTGCCCTGACTGGCAGTGGGTGACAGAGGGGTCAGAAGAAAGTCTGAAACGGAACCAGAGACCTGATTATACAAGTCAACTTAATAAAACAGAAGAGGTTAACACCGAATCAGGTCTGGATAATCAGCAACACTGCCTCAAAAAGCTAAACCTTGATCTACCTTCAACTCTGCCATGTGCTTATAAAGCCAAAAATATGGCCTACTGTTCACACAAGTGATCAGAATAGGGAGAGACAAGTTTCAAGGTTATGAGAACACTAGAAGGCATTGCAAAATCCATTTCCCACAGTAAGAAAAACCCTTTCCACGTGAGCCAGCTCTCAAGGCATAGGTATTGGATGTCATGGACTAGTTTTATATGGATAAAAAGCTTCAAGAAAAAGAAATGAAATGTAATCAGGTCAGCCTTTATGTTCTAGCCAGCAGATGTCTATGACCTGGGGAATATTCAGTTAGAATTCAAAACATACACAGCAACAAAATCCAGCAAAATGCAAGCTTTTCCTTGCTACTCCCTTCCCTAGGCTGTCATCTTCTCCATCCTCTCTGACCCAGAACTGAACATTTCAGAACAGATCAGCCCACCCACTGCCCTGATCACTGCTGGTATGTAGGGGCCTTTCCACAGTCAACCAGCGTGCTGTGGTACTTTTATTTCTAGGCCCGTCCAACTGCTCTTGCCTGAATGTGTTAAAGCCCACATACCTTCAGGAAAGCTAGTCTGTGAAAACACAATCTCTGTGTCACAGATGATGCAGTCAATGTTTTGCCATTTTCCTTTGTACAGTAGCTCTCATCTCAGTTAAACTGAAGAGCATGATGGCTGTGTAGCCCTTAGACTCTAGTCCCAGTCCCTGCCACTAACCAAGCCGCGGCCTTCGTCTCAGGCTCCTAAATCTGCGAAGTGACAGGCAAATGATCCCAAGAGTCACAAAATGTTCTGATCTTGGACATTTCACTGAAAATGCCTGAGAAAAATAAATTTTAAGTATCAAAAACTATCTGCCAGGTGGATGAAGATCAAAAGACAGCTCTCTGAAATTATAACTGTTTAATTTCATAACACAATAATATATTCTATATATAAGCAAAACTGTTTTTAAGAAGCTGACAGCCTCTCAATCCTGAGCTCAGTCCCTAGAGTGGAACACTGTTAGTGGTCTGGAACACAATCATCCCAGGATTTTTCTATACATTTAGATACATAAACCTACATTGAAATGCTTTGTTTTGTGTGACTTTAACACAAAAATGGTGTCATGCTTTGTCTTTTTCCACAAATTCCTTTCATCTTAAAGGTTCAGGAAGTGAGCTATCTCCCTTTTCAGTAGGTATAAAGAATTTCATAGTAAAAATGCTGTAATTGAGCCACTTCCCTACCAGTAGACTTTGTAGGCTGTTTCCTCCACCCCCCACCATACACAATGTTACAATAAGACATATATAAAGATGTTCACACACACAGAGGGAGTACTTCAAAGGCAGAACTAGAAATAAAGCAGCTGGGCTACAGAGAAGAATCTAGGTTTAACTGTCCTGCTGTAAGGGCTGCCTGAGGTATTCAGAAGCTAGCAGGGCATAAAGCAGTCGGTACAGCCAATGGAAAAGTGAATCAAATGGTAAGAATTTAGTGTATCTCAGGAATCTATTAACTACCCAAATAAAACCAGTCCCTTAGAGACCCCACCATGCTAAGGTCACTTGTAAATTCATACACTAGGGCTCGGCTTAAGGTCTACGGCTGGTGGTCAACTTTACTCTCTAAATCCCAACTCCATTTACCTGCTTGGGAACCTGGACTTCTGCTAAGAGGAGAAAGGGAGAGCGCCCCACGGCCCTCAGTGCTGGTGGAACCCAAAGGAGAATCAGAGGAACAGGTGTAGGAATTGAAGGCAGGAAACTGCTGTAAATTCTCCAGGGGAATGTGGACTTCCGGATCTGCGAAGACAAGATGAGAACAGTAGGCCCATTTACAGAATTCTTCGAATTTTTTCCAACAGTTATGGATGGTGAATATGAATCTCCCAGGTGTACGAAGGATGGAGAAAGCTTTAAAACCCAAATTTGTCATATTTGCCACTTTATGTCTTTAATATAAAACCCTTGTTTTAACTATTCGTGTTAAAGCTGGGTGATAAACCTGGGGGTTAATTATACTGTTCTGTGTAATTGTTTTTGAATATTCCCATAATAAAGTTAAAATAAAAAAGTCTTTGTTCTTGAAACATCAGTTTTCTCAACTGTTTAGGACTTATGCCAAACAGCTACACAACACCAGGATGCCAGCTACATACTTATCCCAGTTAGAGAAGTAAAGTTTATATTTACCATACCATGTGGAGTCAAAGTAGTCAAGTCTTTTCCCTAGCCAAAGACTCAACTCCTTGTTTCTGGAGGTTAAGGAGGCCCTCATGTCACACAATTCTTAGTTCAGTGAAGCTTATATTGCAGAACCAGATTAAAAGACTCTACTTACTGGTATGAAAGAGCTCAAGTCTAACTCCCTGCATGTATTTCCTAGTAGGTCAACAGGTTTCTACTATTTCAGACTCTTCTGGTAGACGAACTATGTACAGATGTCTCCAGAGTTGAAGGCGAGGCCAACAATGTACCCAGAAAGCACACAGGCCAACTATCCCCAGCATTCAGCAGACGTCCAATTCCCTACCCACACTCCCGTCCCAGGTTTTTTTCACCCACTTTGAATTTACTCTTACTTCTTACTATGTGCTACACACTTTGACCAGTGCCAACTCCAGTTCTCTCAGGAAGCCCGTGAGGGAGGTACTCTCACAACTCATGTTTGAGAGTTGAAGAAAGCAAGTGGCAGAGCTGAGCTGACTGGGCCAGGCCTGGGGCCGCTGTACAATGATGCACAGCTGTGCTCATCACAGAGGCGCGTTCCTGAACTTACACTTGCCCTGCTTCTTGTTCTCCTCCATCTCAATCCGTCGCTCTCGGCGGCGTTCCTCCCGGGCCTTCTTCTGGCGCTGCCGCTTCCTCTTCTCAATGTCATCTGTGGGGTGGTGAGGTGGTCAGGAGGCAGACCCAGGACAACCTGGCAATTAAGTCCTCCCAGGTGACTAGCAGCTAAGGGCACAAGGGAGGGCCCAGCGGACTGGATGAATGGGTGGAGAGTATCAGCAGATTCGGAGACTCGTGACGGAAATCCTTACTTCCTTCTACACTAGGTTTTTAGTCATATAAGAATCCCTCAATTCCACTAAAAAAGGGGAGCAAAGTAGAGAGCATGCTCACCTGAGAATATCTCTAGGGTTTCCTTAGAGACCAGAGGAGGCTGAAGAGCCAGTTCACAGATGCTGAACTCGCAGGTGAGCGGCAAGTGAGAGAGGTATCTATGACGCTGTCGCACATCCTACAAAGGAAAGGGGGCTGATGCTCAACTAAGGCCAGCCATGACTCTGAGAGCAGAGGTTCCCACTCAGACATCCAGCAGGGAAACACACTCGCTCAGATGGCACTGCGGCTCAGAGCAGTGCTCAAGTTATCGCCATTTTCAAAACTGAACAGAAATTGTCAATTAACCTACAGTAAGGTAGAATAAGCAACCAAAAGCAATTATTGGGTTTGTAATGCAAATGATTTAATTGAGCCCAATAATGAATGATCTAAAGCTGATCAGCTGTTTCTGATTTTCTGGGGGTCCACAACACACAGGGAGAATAAGGAAGACAAGAGTTACTTATTGGCAAAAAATCTGGGAACTACCAACAGAATTAATGGCAACTGGGAAGGCAGATAAAGCAGGTTTCCCTACTGAACAAAGCTTGGCCTAAAACAATAATGAAAAAATGAAGCTCACTGATTTAATTTTCTTTTTATCCTTTTTCTTCACATTTGATGGAAAGGTTATAGTACATAAAGTCTCTTAATTTTAAGCTTTTAAACTGTGATCAATACAAGGGTAATTCTCAAAAGGCAAATAGTCACATATGTAAATTATCAGATAATAATTCACAGGTATCTGCTAAGCCAAAATTCATAAGCTATCTTAAAGCCTCCAAGGACTTTGTTTTCTTAGCCATTTCTCCCAAGCAGTAGGAAGAAAGAGAAACAAAAACAAACTCATCTCAAATGAAAGCAGGAGACATCTCTACCCCCAAACCACAATAATGGAACCTGTGAAACAGACAGCAGTGGTAGACTGACCTAACAGAAACCCCGCGTGCAGGGGAGCTTCATTTAAGTTTTTAAATTCACAGGCTCCAAAACACACACACACTCACACACACAAAAACTAGAAGGTCTGTGAACCTGTATCGGCTAGGCCCAGCACAGAGAGATGAGTTTAACAAGGCTCCCTGCCCCTCCACCTCGAAAGGCAGGCCCTTACCTCAGACATGGAGTAGCCAGAGATCTCCACCACAGTGGCCGAGATCTTCTCGGGGCTCTGCTCCAGGCTGCCGTATTCCCGCACGAGGCAGCGCACGTTCACGGGGTGCAGGAACATGTGCTGCCCGTCCTCCGCTGAAGACAAGCGGATCCGTCACACCACGGTCTCGGCCAGTCCTCAAGTCAGGGCCCTCCTCATTCCCAGCCCAACTCTCCCTCCCCAGGCTGAAAGGCACAACAGGCCCAACCACCCAGGGTCTCGTGCCGCTACCTCCCTCTGCTTAGGAGAGCCAGACCACTTCTCCGAAACATCCAGCGGCACCCAGCCGTCCCCCTCAGGGAGGCTCACCTTGGTAAAAGTAGTAACAAGGAGAGCTGCTCAGGTGTGTGATGCTTGGTTTGGTGATAGGTTCCTGCTGGCTGGACTCGGTACAAATGGTCCCTTCTCCAAGATTGTCTTCTGCTAACTCCAGGTCCTCACAGGCCTCTGACAACCCCTCAGGCTCTGGTTCAGACACTGCTTCCTCTTCCTCTACCAGAGGGAGAGCAACAGGACGAGGAGGACCCAGAGAACAAACTTCGGTGGTGTCATCATCAAAGGCAGACAGGTACTCCAACACGCCCTGTTGGGACAAACTGCGGCTTACAGAAAGAACATGTGGCAAAGGCAGAAGCCGAGCTCTTGAGGTCTATCTCAGCTGTCACTGACTTAACACTGCTGAGGAGAGAACACACATGGAACAAGCACATAGGAAAAATTTAAAAATAACTTTTTTTTAAAAAGCACATAGGAAATACTCATAGTTCCCTTTTCTCTAGATCTAACAGTGCCTACCAGCTGGAGAAGAATGGCGGCCACTCAGTCGGTAACAAGGACACCAACCTTCCTGGGTGGAAAAACGGGCTCCTTCGCCAAGGGAGCCATCAGCACCAGTTGTTCCAGAGCAGCCATGACACCAGGGACCTCCCCTCTGCTTTCAACCAATCCTGACAGAGCCTCTTCCCGAGCCTAGAGCACCAGAGAGAAAACCAGAAACATATTGAGTCTGAAGGACCAAAGTTTACAATAGCCTCTTGACAGGACAAAAGTTAAAAGCAAAAAGAAAGAGTCTAAGTACTTAAAATTTTCAATCTTTAAAGAAAGCAGGAAGCAAAAGCATCTGGTACTCCAATGGGATGGTATTCTGCTTACCATCTCTGACAAGTGATAGTGACAACACTACACAAAAGCTTCCTGAACAGAAATTCAAGGACACAGAAGTGGTCTTCTAGTTTTTATGAACTAAGCTTAGAGAGAGAGAACCACTGAGGAAAACAAGGGTTTGGGCAATCTCCACCTCAACCTGGACAGATCTACTTATATGAAGCTTTCCTTCTCCCTGAAATGCATTTGAACTAATGCCCTGCATTACAGAAAGAAAATAAAAAGTAAATACAGAATCCTGCCCAAAGAGGACTTGTGAGTCAGAGAGAGAGGAATTCAAATACCAGCTTCACCTCTTACTAGTTGTATGTCCTACAAGTAAATTACCTAACCCATGATTCCACTTTCCTCATCCGTGAAAGGAGACAGCTGTTCTATCACACCCAGTTATGAAGCTTACATGAGATAAATACAAGAGCAATATGTCAGCACAGGGTCTGTCACATGCCCTTTCATCAGGGCTTCCACTGTTCTGATATAGATCAGTGATTCTCAAAGTGTGATCTGGGGGTGAGCAGCACCAGACTCCCCTGGAACTTCCTATAATGCAAATTATTAACCTTACTGAGCCTAGACCTACTGAATCAGTCTCTCAGGGTAGAGCCCAACAACTAGCGATTCTGCTGCCTCTTAGTGAAGTCGCTCAGTCGTATCTGACTCTTTGCGACCCCGTGGCTGTAGCCCAACAGGCTCCTCCATCCATGGGATTCTCCAGGCAAAAATACTAGAGTGGGTTGCCATTTCCTTCTCCAGGGGATCTTCCTGATCCAGGGATCAAACCCAGGTCTCTCACATTGCAGGCAGACACTTTAACCTCTGAGCCAGCAGGGCCTCTTAAAGTTTAAAAATTCCTATTGTAGAGGACACAGGACATAGGGAATTCTGTATTTGGATACTGCTGCTCCAAAATCCTCAGCAGGCATTGGTAGAGCCTGCTAGAGAGGCCATAATAATTTCTTCACAATGTTCCTTAAATAAAACATTTCCAAAAATTAATCCAGGTGCATTCCTAAAAAACAAACAAAAGTGTATGTTGCTTAATTAAGGGCACAGCTAGGGCTTTCCTGGTGGTCCAGTGGTTAAGAATGCATGTGCCAATACAGAGGACACAGGTTCAATCCCTGGTCAGAGAAGATCCCACGTGCCATGGGGCAACTAAGCCTATGCGCCACAACTACTGAAGCCCGAGCACTGTAGAATCTGCGCTCGGCAACAAGAAAAGCCACTGCAATGAGGAGCCCACACGCCTCAGTGAAGAGTAGCCCCTCCTAGCTGCACTACAAAAAAGTCCACGCACAGCAATGAAGACCCAGAGCAGCCAAAAATAAATAAATCTTAAAACAAAAAAAGAACATAAGAAACTCCAGAGTTGTGAGATCACCCTGATTTGATCTTTTCAGTTCCAGGGAGCACCTGAAAAACCACTAGGTCACCCCTTCCCTCCTATCACCAAAGCCCAGAGCAAACCTGCTTTCTTAGCTGCTGCCTGCTCATCATCTCAAACGTGGGTGGGGCTGAAGTAGCCAAGTTCCACCCCCTACCCCCACTTCCAGGGCTTCCCCTCACCTTGAGCTCCTGGATAGCTGCCTCAATAAAGCAGGACTCGGGCGTGTGCTTCTCCTCTGCCAGCTGCCGCTCCAGTGCCGCTTTCTCTTCCTGCACCACCCGGCGCAGCACCTGCTCCTTGGAGGCCAGCAGGAGCTTGGAGTACTGGCTGTGCTGTTCATCTGCAACAACGCCAACGAGGTCACAGAGAGGCAAAACTCAGAGCCCACGGCTGTGTGGCTAAATAGCAACTTTCATATACAGCTTTTTTTCTAAGGTGAAAATAGAATGACTTAGTGTGCTTTCCTTAAAAGAAAAATATTTAGAAATGACCCTTAAGTTTACAATTCTGACTCCATAACACAAGAAAGCTATCCTAAGAAAACCAAAGATGTAGGGAAAAAATTAATGTTCTGGGAATTCCTGGTAGTCCATACTTTCACTGCTGAAGGTCTGGGTTCAAATCCTGGTTGGGAACTAAGATTCAAATGATGCGCCACTCCCCCCCCACCCCACAAAAAAAACTTTAGTAACAGAAAAGCTACAACCAACTAGTAAGTCCGATAAAGAAATAGTGACATGATGGTATATTCATTAAAGAGAATTTTGCAGACATTAAAAATGCTTTTCTAGGAAAGAAGCATTTGGTGACATGGAGAAATATCCACATTACATGGGGAGGGGGGGGAACAGATGCCAAACAAGAAAACAATTCCAATCTCACAAAACATACATGTATAGGAAAAAACTCTAAAATTAACATTTTGGTGTACCTCTGCGTAAAAGGATCAAGGATGATTTACTTCCTTCATGTCCATCTCCCATATTTTATGGACTTAAAAAACCCCGAGATAACTATTTACAAATCTGAATGTGTGTCCTTTACACTTTCTCCTATACATTTATATATCCACGTTTATAAATAAAGGTCTAGATCTATTTCTTTTTTTACCTTCTGTATTGTGTTAGATATGAAGATATACTCTAATGAATAAGTTTCTTGTGGACATTTAGGTTATTGTCAATTTCTATTACGACTGTAACAAACAGAAAAACTCCTCTAACAAAAAAATCCCTATAGGTGCTCTTTGGTACAAATGATTTCTTTACAGTACTGAATCAAATGCTGGGTCTATTTTATATACTACCCACCCCCCACATACACACTAAAGGCTATATCAATTTAAACTCCTACCAAGAACAAGAGTACCCACTTCCCCACCCCTGCCAAAACCAAGCATAGACATACCTCAGTAATATGCCTGTTTGGTTCCACTGTAATCAAGTGAGCATCACAATAAAGTAGGTCACAGATTTGTTTGTTTCCCAGTGCATACAAAAGTTATTCTTACACTATTCTGTAGTCTATATGCTAGCAATAGCATTATGTCTAAACAATGTAGACACCTTAATTAAAAAACACTGTTAAAAAATGCTAACCATGTGCTTCCCTGGTGGTTCAGTGGTAAGGAATCCACCTGCAAATGCAGGAGAGACAGGCTCAATCCCTGGCCCGGGAAGATCCCACGTGCCTCAGAGCAACTAAGCCCGAGCACCCCAACCACTAGGCCTGTGCTCCAGAGCCTGGGAGCTGCAACTGCTGAGCCCATGTGCCGCAACTACCAAAGCTTGAGCACCCTGGAACACGTGCTCCACAGCGAGAGAAGCCACCACGATGAGGAGTCCATGTGCCGCAACTAGAGAAAACCCCACGCAGCAATGAAGACACAGCACAGTCAAAAAGCAACAAAATGCTAACCATCATCTGACAATGCAGTGCTGCCACAAACCTTCAATCTGTAAAAACTTCGTATCTGTGAAGCACAGTAAAATGAGGTATGCCTGTATTTGCCTCAACCTGTGTGTGTGTCACTGTTAGAGGCACTGTGATTTGCATTTGTGTAACTCTAAGCTAAGTTAAACCTCTGTAGATACTTGAGAGGCTATTCAGATACCCTCTCCTGGGAAATACTTTGCCACATGCTTAGCCTATTCTTCTACTAGACTGTTAATTTACAGAACATCTCTATGTTCTAGACATTAATCTGTATTTTAAACGTGAAAATCTTTCCCTATTTATCACCTGTTGACTTTAAGGAGTTTTGTAGAATCTTAATTCTCATAAAATCAAAATCAATCTTTTATTTAATAGCACTGATGGTTTCAGCTTGGTTCAAACACCCTCCCAGGTAAAACCCCAAGGATTATAAAGATATTTTCCTATATTTTCTTTTAAAAGTTCTGAATTTTGTTATACTAGATTTTACAATCCATCAGGAATTGATTTTTATGAATGGTATCAGATACGGATCTAATTTTTTTCCCGTAAGAGTCAATTGTTTCAGTACCATTTATTGAAAATCCTCTTTTGCCCAAAAACGGAAATGTCACTTTAATGCTCATCTCCATATGGAACATAAAGAATACAACCCCTTGCACTTCCCCACCGTAAGCACTGACCACACTCTAGATCCAAATGTCTGGTTACCAGTCTGTCTCTTCAATTAGACTACCAAGTTCCTTGATGATAGGTGCCAAGACTGGCTGACTGTGGAATCCCCCCAAAACTGGGCACAGCGCTAGATACTACTCAACAAAGCCTTATATGTATTTTAATTTTTCATTTCACAAATGAGCTAAACTCGAATCAAAAGTTATATATCATTTTCTGCAAACTTTACCCCCAACCTACTGGAATCCTATGTCTAATTTGGAAATGCTAGAAATGGCTGGCTTAAAGGCTCAGTTTTTGACAGTAGAAAGACATACTCAAGTAGCCTTAACGGATATACCCATCATTATGTGTTCCCCAAATTAACGAAACTCACCTCCAAGATGAATAGGATGGTCTACATTCATCCACTTGGATTTGGGCAAGGCCACCAACACCCCTTTCTCCCTCTTCATCAGCTGCATTGTAATGGTATCGCCAACAACATACTGACGTGACTCTGTGGCAACAACACTGTAACATGGACAGTCATATGCAGAGGGCAAGCAGTTGGCAGTTGGGGTCTAATCTAGTAAACACCTCCATCTTACCTCTTTAGATCCTTCTTATGCACAGAACTGTAACAGATGGGACATTTACTCCAGGTCTTCTCACTCAGTGAAAGATAGTGCAGGATGCATGCCCAGCAGAAGATGTGTCCACAACGGGTTATCTTGGCTGCAGTAGGTGGATATAGGCATATTGGGCAAGATGGCACTTCATGGCTACAAATGCGCTGAAACAAACGCCACCACAGGTTAAACTGCTTTCAGAACTGACTGGGGACTGCTAAAGCCTCTTCCGTCCTCCTTCTCATCCCTATACATCTCTAACAACACATCTTCATAATACTGTTCAACCGTGCAGGGATATGCACAAGAGCACCTCAAGCAAATCATTAAGGAAACCAAAATAATAATATAATAAAACCACCATACAGCAGGTATTTTCAGGGTTCCGCATCAAAAGGAAAAAATGGCAATCAATATAGATCCCACTTACAAAAAAAGACTTATATGTACACATACATAAAGGCAGGATTCCCTGGTGGCTAAGATGGTAAAGAATCTGCCTGCAATGCAGGAGACCCAGGTTCGATCCCTGGGTCAGGAAGATCCCCTGGAGAAGGGAATGGCAACCCATTCCAGTGTTCTTGCCTGGAGAATCCCACAGAGAGGGGAGCCTGGTGGGCTAACAGTCCATAGAATCGCAAAGAATTGGACACAACAGTGACTCATGCACACAAACACACACACACATGCATAAAAAGAGTCTAGAAATAATGTACCAGTGGACCAACAGAGGAGTCAGTGAGACTTCCACATTATGTCTGTTTTTTCCCTAAACCAATGCATATAAAACTTAAGTTTCATAGGCTTTCCATGTCACTTTCAGATGATGATTTTATGAATTTTCACAGTAATGAGAGTGCAGGCCTTGGAGTCTACCACTTTGAAAGGTATTCTACATCATATAACTAGGAGTGACAAAGGGATACCTAGGGCCGATAACTTCAGGAGAAGACAAATGCAGCAGTAGCTTGGACGGAAGTACAGCTGTGGGGCTCATTTCACCTGTCACAAGGCCAAGGCCGATCTCATACTGATGACTACACATGGCTACCAATGAAGCAGTGCCCATGCAATGAGCCCATCCAGGATCAGGAGGATAACCAGAGTTTTCCAGTCCCCTGGTTATGTCTTTCCAGAAGAGAGGAGGCAGCAGACAGGAATGCTATTACCCTATTACCCTCCAATGCCCAGTCCTACACTGAAGTGACCTAGCAGCAGCAGCAGCCTAGTCCTGCAGGAGCCAATCAGCAGAAAATCAACTTCAGACGAAACCAGCAGTGATCTCTGGAAAATGCCCACAGTACGGCCAGACAGAAAGATGTATCAGCAGTAAACTCAGTCAAAAGGTGCTGTCACCACTGTCCCTCTCTTTAGTTCACTCTGCCACTCTCAGCTCATAAGCTGAGCTGAGCTACTCACCACTTGTTCCACAAAGTCCCAGTTGACTAAGGTATCAGGATCAGCAAAATGAACTGTGTAGTCTTGGTCTTCAGACACCACAAACTGGCAGCTAGAAATAGGGACAGACAAGAAAGGGGCGGACTGTCAGAAATCATCAACAAGCCCTCAGCAGAAAGTCACCATCTCTTCACTTAGAAACCAAACGCAGGAATTAGCAGCCAGGGTTTGTGAAGCACTGAACTAGGACTTCAGCCTGAGTCCCAAGTCCTGGCTCTGGAGGGAATCCAAAGGCTCAGCGGGCAGGAGCCCAAACCCATGAACTCTGTTTCTTCTGCTTCCAGGCCCAACCAGGCTGCCTGCAGGCCCTCCCCTTGAACTAAAATTAACCCAGACTGTGGCTCCATCAACAGAAGGGAAGCCAGATGTCATTCCTCACCACCAGAAACTACTAGTCTTCAAGGCAGTAGAAAAGACTGTCCCCACTCAATCATTTGAGCGCCAGGATTTTGTTGTTGTTTGTTTGGGGTTTTTTTTGGGCCGCGCAGTGTGGCTTGGGGATATCTCAGTTCCCTAATCAGGGATTTAACCCAGGCCACGTCAGCGAAAGCCCAGAATCCTAACCACTATACCACCAGAAACTCCCACCAGTTTTTTTTACATAAAATACTAAATGGTTACTTCAGTCTAGACCCAAGGTCAAACCTTACATGAACTAAGGTAACACAAAAGGAAACGAAAGAGAATCAGTATTTGAACAAAGGCATGCCAAACACTCCAGTGTGGCATTCAATTCTCCCTTAAGTAATTTCTCCTCCTTTATATGTATGAGGAATAGCTGAATCTCAAAGTGGTTAGGTAAGTTACTCAAGGTCTAAAGCCAAATAAGATTCAAATCTGGATTCAATTCCAAAGGAAACATTTTTACTACATCATCACAATACTGAAGCATTACTTAATTTATTTAAGTATTATATTCTTTTAAACACCAAGAACACCTGCTTGAAACACATCTGTGTTTTCAAGGCCAGGTGAGAAAGAGACGGAGAAATCAACTCCCTTTCCGCCTCTCTCCAAAAGTTGCTTAAAGGAAGCCTCTCAGCACAACAAACGCCCAGAGGCTCAATTTCACTCCCCTCCTAAGAGTAGAGGTACTCACTTGGCTTGCAAAAAGAGTTCCTTATTAAAAGGCTTATGCCCCCACTTGTTCCTTTTTCCCCAGCTGCCATGTCCACTGCCTTCAAAATGACCGGCCTGGCCACGGGGTTCAAAAGTGAAATTCAACAAATGGTTCAGGTTGATCTTCTTCGGACCAGAGAACTGGGCAGGGCTAAACTCTGCCCGTTGAGCCTCTGCTACCTAGAGAGAATGAGAGCGAAGCAGAGGATTTCCAGTTAGGATGACACTTGCTACACGACAGCAGAAGCCAGGGCACCCCTCCTCCTCCACGGCTTAAACTATGAACTAAGTAAAACACAGGCTTATATTTAGTAAACAATCTTCCTAGGAGGGGGTAATGAAAAGGCCACCCAAGATCTAGATGGGGGTGGAAAAAAAGAAAAAGAGCCTCTAACATACAATTATAGATACTTATAAACTTATTTAGTCTACCCTAAGTGGCAATTAACCATTACATGACAAAACCCAGCATGAACTCCTCGAGCTATCTTGAAGCATAGAGATTTACTAACTAGATTAATGTTTCCACATCCCTCACTCTTGCTAGCTACTTGCTCCCTGGTCTATTTCTGGCCAACGTTGAGTCTGTGGAACTACACTCTGGAGGCAGCCTGCAGGCAGCTGCAAACTACCAAAGGCTTCAGGATCCTGCCAGAGACCTCCCATCTAAGACACACACTGCTATTCACTGTTAATTAAAACTGACAGAATTAGAACACGTAGGCAGACTAGCTCTGTGTCCAGAAATAAATCCAATCAGCACATTCCAAAACAGTTTAGCAAGAAACCAGCTATGAGAAATGCCACTGCACACAGAGATGGAATCTTTATCGTGCAGGGGTTTTTTCAGTCCACTTGAAATTCCCAGACTGAAGTGGTACAGGTACCTGCTGTGAGTCAGTCAGTGCATTTTCTAACCCCACTTTTCCACTTCAATGTCAAAAGCACTTGGCCCTATCACTCAATACTAGTAAACAGCCACCTTACCAGACTATATACCATTGCATGAGTCTCCTATTATGCTTTAGTATCGGATGCATGTTCATGGCTTTTCCAGTGTTAACAAAATAATGCTATGATAAATACACTTGACAGACCTTTGTGCACAAATATTTGAGGGCCTACGATTATTTCTTTTGACTGTATAGTAGGAATTATTGAATCAAAGGAAATTCAAATTTAAGGGTTTTGCTGCTTATTAGTGTATAAGCAGCACTTGCACATACATGATAAAGAAATCTAAAGAGTACAAGATAGGATACAGCTGAAAATACCTTCCATTCCAGAGGCAACCAATATACCCTCTTGAGACCTTTTATGCTTGTGGAATCAGAGTATATGACCTTTATGATTAAATACAGCAGCACAAGATACAGTCAGACAAGCTCTTATCATAACAATATAACTTGGGAAACAACACTCCACACACACATCCACACACTCATCCACCCCATCACTGTTCATGTAACTCACCACAGGAAGCCCAGGACTTCCTGGTCATCCCTTCTCTCTTACTCCCTAGATTCTCTTCTCCAATTGGCTCCACTTCCCCTGATCAGTCTTCTACTCCAATGCCCCAAATTTGGATAAGAGCTTGTGTTCACTCAACAAAACCCCCCACCTTCTCATCCTCTACCTTCATCTTTTTACTCTAACTGGCCCACTGTCTCTGACACTGCCCACCATAATTCCTGATTACAGCTTCCAACCGGTCACCTCTCAGTCCCCTGACATCTCCTCTGAACTGCTTACCCTCCACCCTACCTCTGCTGCCCACTCCCACGAGCACACCACCTAGAGCCGCGCTGTCCAACAGAGCAGCCACTGCTATCAAGGCCTGCTGGCTACTGAGCACTTGATATGTGGCCAGTACCACACTGTGAAACAGCATTTTAGCTATACGGGATTAACTATATTAACACTGACTTCACTGTTTTTACTGTTTACTGTGGCAACTAGAAAACTTTGTTACATATGTGGCTTATTTAGCCTTTCTTTTTTTGCATTGGAGGATAAGTGCTTTAAAATGTTGCGTTGGTTTCTCCTGTACAACAACATGAATCAGCCGTAAGTATACATCTACCCCCTCCCTCCCCTCCCCCAACGGCTTAGCATCTTAATTGGATGGCACTGCTCTACAGTCCAGCCCGTGGTGGTAACAATTCCACCTCTTTCACCATCTTAGCTTTGAGCGCCCTACCAGAATCTCACTCCTTTCCCGGCTTCTTTCTGTTACTTCTGATTCTGACAACAATTTCACCTCCACTGGGATTTCCAAACCAGTGATCCAATCCCCTTCTCCCCAAATTTTCTTTCCTTGGCTCTGATTTTATGGTCCATTGCCCCATTCTCCTTGTTGACTGTACTCATCTAGCAAAACTTTCCCCTGATTAATCCACACCAGCATCAGAGCAAGTAAACACGGCTGAAGCTGTGCTGTGCCAACCATACCGTGCCAACCAGCCTCAGTAAAGCAGACTCGTGCTGCTCGGCAGTCACACTACAATCCGATTACACTTCTGTGCTCCACTGATTCCCCCCCAGACCCTGAAACAACTCCTCCAGTCCTCAGGTTTCCAAACCTTCTCTCTCAGCACCTCTTTGATATGTCTCTGAGACAGTAAGAACAATCGGAGAACTCCTACACCTTCCTTCCAGTTGCCTGCCTTCCTCTATTCTGTTGATGAACTGGGGAAGCTCCTAAGCCAATTCCTCAAAAACTCGGTCACTTTCAGCAACTCTCTCCCTTTTCTCTCCATCACCTTTTCCCTCTCACCAGAACAATTCCATGAGCAGAGGTATGCTGCAATTTCTTGGAACCTTAAAATCTCTTTTGAGCTCACATTCCCCTCAAGCCACTGCCTCACCTCTCTGGTCCCCTACAAGAGCAAAACCACTAGAAAGTAATGATCTAAACTTGCTCTTTCTTCTTCCCACTCTCTAAATCTATGTCAATCAGGTTTTTGTCCTCGCCCACTCCACCAACGCAGTACAAGGCCAACAACCTAATCCACCTTCATATTTCCAAATTTAATGGTCAGTTTTCCAACTCAATCTTCTTACCCAGCCTAGAAGCACAGGACAGAAACTGATCACTTTCTCCAAATGGTTTTTAGTTCTCGTCCCCCTTTTTTTGCAGGTTCCTTATCATCCTGACTCCAGTCCTCAGTCCTTGAAGCCACTCCCTTTTTGCAACACTCACTCCTTCATCATCACACTTGGTTCCACAGTTGCACACACCAAGTGTGCCTGGACAGCTCTCTAGCCAAGGTCTTCTTGAACTCCAGACTCAGTGACTATCCAACAGGCAACACTTCTAAATGAAGTTCTTTATCTCAACACCCCCTCTCCTCCCCAGCCCAAAACCTTGTACCTCCTGAAACTGCCCCCATTTCAGCACATGGTACCTGAATCGGGCCCCTGTCAAAAACACTAGTCACTATTTCTCTGCTCAGACCCCACACCTAGTCTATCTAAAAATTCTCCTGGCTCTTTCTGCAAATATCTCCCCAAGTCTGCTCATCTCTAATCATTACCACTCTGCTTTAATCACTTGAACCAGGGATGCCTTAATCAGCTCCTAACCAGTCTCCCTGTTCCCACTCTCCCCTTTAGACTCAAGGGCAGGTTACCTTACTTCTCTCCTGAAGCACCCAACAGCTTCCCATCTCTCTGAACAAAAGCCAAAGTCCTTTGAGGGCCCACGTGATCTGACCCCTCTCTCTCTTTTTCTGGCTTCATTTCCACTTCTCCATCCACGGTAGCCTATCTGCTTTACCTTGAACACAGCAAAAACACTACCAAATCTGGTCCTATGTACTTATAAATTCGCTCTGCTTAACACACCCTTCCTCAAAACTGTACTGTGTGCTCCTTGCTTCTTTCAGGACTCAGAATCCTCAGAGAAGCTTTTACCTTCTCAGGGCAGCTTTCCTCGCTCACCTCCTAAAACTTGTCTTTATTACTCTATCCCTCTACCTCTCAGTCTACTCTTTTTCAATTTAATAAGCACTTACCATTATATTTATTACAAAACGATTTGTCTCCCCAACCTAAAATATAAACTCCACCCAATGTTGTACTTCAAGCTGTAAATGGTATTTAGTGCACAGTAAGTGAGGAATAAATTTCTGGTGAATAAATGAACTCTTCCATTAAATCTTATTCTCTACTGGCTACACAGTATGGAATGTTATGTATGGAACACATTATGGAACAGCAGGATAATATATTTAACCAATAATATATTTACCTTTGATAGCAGTTAGGCTGTTTCCTAAATCATGCAATTACATGTGGCAGTGAACACCCTTGTACATAAATCTTCATGCACTTTCAGAAGATATCTAAGGAACTCCTAAAATCAGAGTACCTGGTACTGCTAGATACTACACATGGTTCAGATGGTAAAGAAACCACCTGCAATGCAGGGGACTCACTTTCAATCCCTAGGTCATGGAAGATCCTCTGAAGAAGGGAATGGCCATCTACTCCAGTATTCCTGCCTGGAAAATTCCATGGACAGAGGAGCCTGGTGGGCTTTAGTCCATGATGTTGCAAAGAGTTGACCACAACTGAGCGACTAACACTTTCACCTCACTTCATATGGCAAATTAATGTCATTAAGTAATGCTATTTTATTACCTAAATATTCCAAAGGGTACCTACAAATCAAGAGTAGTAATAAAAGGATGATACAAATTAAGGTACCCTAAATTTGCTACAGAGGGCATCAGAGGATGAGATGGCTGGATGGCATCACCATGCAATGAACATGATCTTGGGCAAACTCCAGGAGATGGTGAAGGACAGGAAAGCCTGGAGTGCTGAAGTCCATTAGGTCACAAAGAGTCGGACACCACTGGGGCACTGAACAACAACAACAAATTTGCTACAATGTCTCACAATCCATAATTAAAATGTCTTCTTCCTCTGAGGAAATTTTCATAATCTTTAAGAGAAGAAAGGAGGCAAAGTTCCAAACCAAGTTAACCCTCAACTACTCAAGACTGCTCCTCTGGCTCTTCAACTACTCAAACAGTTTGTGAAATGGGGACCTCTTGCTCCACATCTCCAACCATTAATAAACTAGGGGTGGGGAAGTCAGACTTCATGCTTCTTATGCTCTAGAAAGGACATTCTAAAATTCCGTACCTCATCTCGTCTTCCACCATTAAAAGAAGAGCTAAAGAGTTTGCTGCTGCCGCCGCCCCTTTGAGGAGGCATCTTATTAAAAGTTTTGCTTTTCTGTGAATTGGAGCGACGGGACTGGTTGATAAAATTTTCATTTTTGGGGTAGGAAGGTTCACGTTTGCGATTATAACGCTTGGATCCATTTGAGTTCTTTCCATCTGAAAGCAAGAAATATGAAAAAAATTAGTTAAGAAATGATACACACACACACACACACACACACACGCACAAATGATACACATACTTGGCCAATTACCCTCCACCTCCCAATGAAATTGTGTTTAAACAAGGGTAAATGGTCCCTTCCATGACCTCCAAGAAATCTGGGTTGGCCCAGACCATTAGTGCTTTGGACAAGACATTACACAGTAAGGTGGATTTCCTTTTTTATTTTAATGAAGCCTAAAGGGTCCCTCCCTCGGAAGGGACACACTACAGATCAAACCAGGTAGACTCAGTTCACAATGTCTTTATAACAGAGCTTAACCACTGCTCTTGCAAAAGTCCATTCAGACACAGTGATAGAAAAGTAACAGTCTGTCTGTATCAGGAAAAAGTACTTTATCTGGAGGCAGGAAAAAAAACATACTTAGCACAGCTAGATCCTATACTGCAATAGTGTGGTCTAGTTTCCAGCACATATATATTCAAGAGGCACAAAAACAAAACAATAATTACATAATCTTTTAGAGGTCAAACTGAGAGGCTACTAAATTCACAAAACGAAGGACACTAACAGTATATCAGCCTAAGTTATAGCCTTTTAAAAACTGCTTCCTGCTTTTTTTTCTCCAGGTTCCAGAACATATGTTCAATTTTGGAATTCAGAAAGAAAAACTTCGCCAGTGCCCATAGTATACCAAATTATAGTGTTTAATTTCCTTTTATTCTCCATTTTATACACTCATCACACACTTCTACAAAATGATAGGCATATAAGATATACTGTCTTCCACTTATTAATCCATGAGCTATTTCATGCAGCCCCAAGCTTCAAAAGCAAGATTAACGGCCACACTGTACCTACTGTATGCTTATTGTGTAACATGACCAATTTGCTTTGTAGCTTTTGGCTGCAACTCTTTGTGACCCCATGGACTGTAGCCTGCCAGGCTCCTCTGTTCATGGAATTTTCCAGACAAGAATACTGGAGTAGGTTGCCATTTCCTTCTCCAAGGGACCTGACCCAGGGATCGAACCCATGTCTCTGGCATCTCCTGCATGGCAAGCAGAGTCTTTTACCACGAGGCCATCAACAGTATTGGGAGCCTCTTCACACACAGACCTGTGTGCATGATTATGTCAAAGTATCAAAGTAGAATTAGCAGATCAAGTATGATCATAAAGCCTTTTACAAAATCCTCAAGTTGTTTTCTAGAATCACCATACCAGTCTATTTACATTCTAACAACACTACAAGAGAGAATATCTTACTACACTCTTTATAATACTGAGTGGATAAACTTTGCTAAATTGAAAGGTCAAAATAATTTGTTTTAAATGTGAATTTCTGAAGACTAGCAACAAACATCTTTTCTATTGACCATTTGTATTTTGTGTAAAGAGTCCGTCTGTAATTTTTGCCCCATTTTTTCCTACTGGGGAGCTGAACTGCACAGATTATTTCGTCCCAAATTGAACAAATAACCCTGACCAGACACAGTTAACATATACCAAAGTTTACCAGCTTAAAGGGGGGCAAAATAAAAACTGAAAACCACACCAAGTAAGTAAAGGTGGATAAAGGTGGAAGGCACCCAGATTAGTCTTTGGACAAAAAAAAAAAAAAGACTAATTTTTTTCTTGTCCCTTCAATACTCACTCCAGTTTGCCTTATTTCAACATAGAGATCTGACCAAATCAATTCTGTACACTAATTCAATGGCTTCAAAAGCAAAAACAGGACTTCTGGTTCAAGATGGCAGAGCAGAAGGACATGCATTCATCTGCTCCAGCAAGAGCACCAAAACAGCAATTAGCTGTTGAACAACAGTCAACAGGAGGACGCTGGAACCCACCAAAAACAGATACCCCGCGTCCAAAGACAAAGAAGCCACAGTGAGATGGTAGGAGGGGCAAAATCACAATAAACTCAAATCCCATACCTACCTATGGGTGGGTGACCCACAGACTGGAGAAGAGTAATACCAAAGAAGTTCTCGCACTGCTGTGAAGATTCTGAACCCCAAGTCAGGCTTCCCAGTCTGGGGATCCGGCAAAAGGACTGGGAATCCCCAGGAAATCCGACCTTGCAGGCCAGCGGCATTTGATTAGAGGACTCCCTCATGACTGTGGGAAACAGAGGCTCCAGTCTCAGAGGGCAGAAACAAAATTTTGCATGCACCAAGACCCAGAGGAGAAGAGCAGTGACCCCACAGGACTACCTGCTAGTGCTGGAGGGCCTCCTGTGAAGCATGGGTTGGCAGGGGCTCACCACAGGGACGGGGGCATTGGAAGGTCCCCCCAGGCGTAAACCTTCTTGGAGTTTGCCATTAACCCTACCATAGAGCCCGCTGACCGCAGGACTCGGTCGCCTCAGGCCAAACAACTACCAGGGAAGGAGTGCAACCCCACCAATCAACAGATAATTGAATTAAAGTTTTACTGAGCAAGGCCCTACCCACCAGAGCAAGACCCAGTTTTTCTCATCACCAGTCCCTCCCATGAGGAAGCTTACACAAGCCTCTTAGCCTCATTCATCAGAGGGCAGACAGAAGAAGCAAGAAGCACCATCTCACAGTAGCTAAAACAAAAACCATATTAAAGAAAGTTAATCACAATGAAAAAGCAGAAAATTATGTCTCAGAAGAAGGGACAAGATAAAACCCCAGAAAAACAACTAAATGAAGTGGAAACAGGCAACCTTCCAGAAAAAGAATTCAGAATAATGAGAATGAAGATGATCCAGGATCTCGGGAAAAGAATAGAGGCAAAGATTAAGATGCAAGAAATGTTTACCAAAGACCTAGAAGAACTAAAGATCAAACTAAAGATCAAAGAGATGAGTAATACACTACAAAGAATCAACAGCAGAATAACTGAGGCAGAAGAATGGATAAATGACCTGCAGTACAGAATGGTGGAAATCACTGCCACAGAACAGAATATAGAAAAAAGAATGAAAAGAAATGAAGACAGCCTAAGAGACCTCTGGGACAACATTAAATGCACCAACATTCGCATTATAGGGGTCCCAGAAAGAGAACAGAAAGAGAAGGATCTGAGAAAATATCTGAAGAGATGAGAGCTGAAAACTTCCCGAACATGGGAAAGGAGAGAGTCAATCAAGTCCAGGAAGCACAGCGAGTCCCATGCGGTATAAACCCAAGGAGGACCACACGGAGACCGGCAAAAATTAAAGACAGTGATAAAACACTGAAAGCAACAAGGGGGAAACTACAGATAATATACAAGTGAACTCCCATCAGGCTAGCTGACTTCTCAACAGAAACTCGACAAATCAGAAGAGGATGGTGGGATACATTTAAAGTGATGAAAGGGAAGAACCTACAACCAGGAAGACTCCACCCAGCAAGACTCTCCTTCAGATTTGATGGAAAATCAAAAGCTTTCCAGACAAGCAAAGTTAAGAGAAGTCAGCACCACCAAACCAATGTTACAGCAGATGCTAAAGGAACTTCTCTAGACAGGAAACACAAAAGAAGGAAAAGACCTACAGAAAATAAACCCCAAACAATTAAGAAAACGGTAATAGGATCATACATGTCGATAAATACCTTAAATGTAAATGGACTAAATGCACCAATCAAAAGACACAGACTGGCTGGGTGGATGAAAACATGTGCATGTATGCACTTCCACTTACCACATCACTCTGCTTGACCCCCTCCAAGATGTAGATAATTATATTGTTAAGTTAATCATGTTCTCATTATGGCGTGCAACTGTAACTATCTCTTATTTTTTCTCTAGATATTGATTGTGAAAACAGATTCAGAATTATCTTGAAACTTTTGAAAAATACAAACTCAGGTATCGCTTTTTTTCTCCAGAGCTCCAGATATGTTTCTAATGAGCAGTCATGTTTAAACTGGACTATATAATGACATTTTACTTTTATCTACTTTGTTTCATTTTTCTATTTCATATTCAGTGCTCCCGTTTCATTTAGTTTATATTCTCCAATTTCTCTCTCTTTTTTTGATGTTCTTTCTCAAGCCTTTATCAAGTGTAGTAGAAAAGCTTTTGCATATACATATATAAAAAACTTAACAATTTTTGCCTAACTAAAAAAGTTATGACATTTTGATTCCACTTGTTTGACTTAGTATGAACAGAATGCTAGATTACTAATTAAAAAATAGATATGCACCAAAGGTTTACTATATAGCATAGGGAACTATAGTCAATATCTTGTAATAACCCATGATGGAGAATAAGTTTAAAAAATAATATGTGTTTGTATAGCTGAGCCACCTTGCTGTGCACCTGAAACATTCTAAGGCATCTATACGTCAATAGATTTTTTTTTTTTAATTTAACAGAAACAGAAAACAGAAGTTGGAGGGACAATTAATGAAATAAACTAGGCTTACCCTCAAACTTCTAAGGAGGTGGTTAATTTCAACATCAAGGAGACTCCAGCATGAGCCTCAGAAACTACACATCTTCACCCTATAGTTTAATACTGTTTATGTTAAAATGTACAATTAATAGAAACATGTCTGCAAAGACAACACAGCAGGCTGTTGGTGACAGTAACCTTTGGGAAACAAAACTATTCACTTTGGCCTAATACAATGGTTCTCAATCCTGACAGCTGGCAGGAATCACCGAGATGAGCTTTCAAAGGATTCTTGTGTTGAGGCCTCACCGTCTAAGATTCTGACTTTATGAAGTCTTACTGTTCTGTATACTAATAATTTGAATAATTTAGTAACTATAAGTACCTAGAAGAAATTATTTCTAACAAGATGACCAGCTTCTTTACAGCAGACTAAATAAATCCAAAGTGAAGCATATCCTCACTGAAAAGGAAATGACAGCTGATAAACCAGAATCCATATTTTGAAAGCAACCGCCTCACACTCAGTTTGCCAGAAGCATAGAAAATAAATGAGAGGTATGCCATCCTCTTCAAACCTGACCAAACAGTCCTGTGAGATGGCAGCACTATAAACAGAGAACAGATGGTCCA